AACAGGGACACCCCCATAAGGGGGAGTTTGACACCAACAGTCGCAGAGGGGCTTGCACCCGCGTAAGGGTTTCTTTTTTTCTTGCTTTTCCTATCCCATCATGAACTTTCACTGGTGCAGGCATACACACACTTTTTTTTTTGTATGGACTAAGGTCTTGTTTTGTTTTTAACTTACGCGCTCTGCTCACCAGACTGGACCCCGCTAAACAGGGTTAGTCCAGTCTGTTAAAAGTATATTAAATACAAAACAATACCACAAATACAGTAGTTCAAGTACAGTAGGTAGCTGTGTCAGCATGCATAGGCTGCAAAGGAACAAGTAAAGGTTTATTCCATGTTGGAAAGAGAAGAAAATAATAACTATTTTCTCTTTTTCTTTTCTTCTCTTTTCAGCATGGAATAAACCTTTACTTGTTCCAATTATAAAGTATCCTATGTATTATTTGAATTGGTTTAGCCACTTTTTTAGTATCAGTATTTGTTATCAAGTTTTAGGTAAAAAGACACATATCGACTTTCAGTGTTTTTTTACAAATGTAACTGAAATTTGATCTTCTCCTGGCAGTTAATAACGTCTTATGAACCATCTCAGTATATATCCTTGGTAAGCTTACATGTGTAAAGTTGGGTCTTGCTTCGCATGATGGTTTCAGAGAGGAGGTGTGAATATCTTTGAGAAATCCAATGTGACTGCCAAACCATGTGACTACATACAGTATGTGACAAAGCATTTCATCTACAAACCTCATTTTCACTCACAAAACCTCCCAAAGGGCTCTGGAAGCCCAAGACATTTCATGAGTTTTCATCAAATGGATGAATTTCATGGCTGCAAATGACTGAAATTCTTGGTGGACTCATTACCAGTCACATTTTTTTATGTTTCATAGGCCTAATTACAATAATTGAAACAAAATACTTCATTAAGTGAAATGTTGTTTTATTACCCTTGTTAGAAAATTTGATTTAGTGTCAGAATCACTCAAACTACATACTGCTTTAGCTTTTAAAGGACTAGATCTCAGACGTTTCTAGCCCGCGAGGCCGCTTCAGAGCTGACAGCCTTGTCCATAGCTTCTTTGGTTTTTAGTAGAAAGTCTTTCTACCAAACATTTTTGAGACAGGCCAATTTTACACCATTTTTGGTTTTGATTGCCGCATTAAGACTGTATTGTATCAGTACCTTAAAAACTTACCTACCTATACCAGTGTGATTCTAAGCAAGCATTCCAGTATCAGGAAACTAAACTTATCTCAGAAATACAAATCATCCAGAATATGATTTATATATGGCTTATCCTAATTTCTAACAGCACCTGGGACTGCTTTTGATGTGTGAAAATGGGCATTCCTTGTGGACCACATAAAAGAATTTTCTCATCAAGAAGATTTATGATCTCACTCACATTATTGCAATTCAAAGTCTTTACTGCACTGTGCATGCGGTAGTCAGGGAGTTTGTGGAGGATGATGTTAAAACAGATGGTTCTACTGTGGTTTAAATGAGACAACCATACAAAATCTACATTTCAAGACTCGTGCCAGTTTAGGATTGCTGCCTCGAGGTACTGTAGGTAATACTATTTATGTATACACTACTTCAAAATCACACAACTGATGCTTAATTATTCTGCTGATATCTAATACTCCAACACAGGGATCTAGTTCTGAAACAAGAATGCACACATGGATGGACCCTGGGAAGTCTGAGTAATTTTGGTATACTGTACTTCATCCAGTGGCATATTATAACTAATCATGTCAAGATAATCACCAGACATACTGTAAATTAATCACTGAATCCTTCAGATTACAGATTCAATTTTTATCCTCAACTTAGTTTAACAGAAAGCATG